ACTGGGAACCAAACTCACGACCTTGCGCTTGCCAGGCAGGCGCTTTTTGCCGCTGAGCCAAATCCCCAGCCCCTTGGTACATAAATTAAATATTTGTTTTTAACTCCCAAACCTTTGTACTGTACCAGCTGAATTGATTCATGACAGTTGCCCACTCGACAAAAGATAATCATTATTATGACTGAAATATTTATATTGCTTTTTATTCTTGCTTATTCCAGGCCTTACTGTGGCATGCAAATTTAAAAAAGGGGGGCGGACCTCAGAGTACATTTCTAATTTTAATCACATTTCTTTACGTCCTTTAGAAAATGAGTGACCTATAGAATTTGATTGAAAATGACGTTCACTTTTATCTTTCGAAGCTCACAAAGAAGCGTTCACACACATCAATCAGTAACGAATAGTTTTTAGCATAGTGAGAATTGTACTTTATCCATTTACATGGAAATAAAATTTCCTCTCTGCTAAGGAGATCCTCTATTTTTCTACACTTAAAATGATTTAAGTAGACTTTAAGAATGAAAAAAAAGACTGTTTTAAGAGAAAGAATATAATTTTGATTATCTCTACTTCAAAAAGCTTCAAGAAAATTTAGTTAGGTTCTAACTTAATGATAGAGCAATGATTTTATGGTTTAGTGGAAGGAACAGTGACATTTTAAATAGAAGGGTTTTCAGCCTAATAATTAAAATAACAATACTCAGAGTACTTTCACAATACCGCGAACAAACACAACCAAATTGCATGGGCTGCTTTTGGTTTAAATTACATGGAGCCTTTTCCAGCCAGACTTGTAGATAAAGTCTTGGTTGAAATAGCTGCATAATTCCTGAGCCACGAGTTTTTCTTTGCTGTAATTACATTCCTGTGGTGACTCATACTCTATAGTACACAGGAAAATGTTCCCTTGAATTTTGGAAACCTGGAAGATTTACTAATTGTTTAAAAATACGATTAGTATTATTTTTATTACCACTACAACTGCTGTCCCTCCAAGGAGTGTTTTACTCAGGTGCTTTTGGGTTCATTTCTGCCGTGGATAATGAGGATGGGGACAGCCTCCCACCGATACTCACTGTCAAGGATGGGCTGGCTGTTCTGGATCTGTGGATCCAGCTCTCACTCTGGTCCTCACCCCCGCTGCAACTCACTTCCTGCTATTTCTGCTTTTCTGCTTCTCTTTCCTCTGGTAGCTGAATGATTGTTCTCTAAATTTACTAGTTCAGATTACTAAGGGAAGGGATCGGGGTGGCTATGCTAATAAACATTGTCTCTGTGTAGTAGTGTTTTTCTCCCACTCCTAGGGGAGTTGTTTCAGACTGGTATCAAGGCTGGGGGACAGTCTTCTGCAAAAGTTTGGCTGGCATTTCTCCTTTGAGTCTGTGCTTGGCTAACAAGGTATGATATGGATGCTGGAGCAATTACCAGTTTTATCTGAGGCAAGTCTTTGCTGTTCAGTTTCACTTTTATCAGAGACCTTTGGAAATGTGTGACGTATGTGACATCACCTTGGAAGAACAAGAGGGTGTCAAGAAGAAAGGGAAAGAGAGGAGAAAGAGCAGGAGGGAAGGAGGAAGACAGAACGAGAATAGCTGTTGGTTAACTGCACAATAGCTTTCTCTCTACTTCCCTCCTTCCCTCCACCACTGTTCAGCTCTCTCTCTGAGTAGCCATGATGTTCCAGGGAGGAGAATCTTGAATCTTGACTGTTCAGAGACAAATGTCCTTCTTTAAAGTTTATGGAAAAGATGTTTTGAGAAGGTGCATGCTAGGAGCTTTTTTATGAAGGGTCTGCATACTCTTAAAGAAGTGCATAGATTTTTTTTCCCCTTGGGCTATTTCTGATTTTCATGTGTTGCTTAGAATTGCATCAGCTATGGGAGAAGCCAGTCATAGAACAAGCCAGCCACCCTACTGATTAATGGTAGAGGAGAAAGTTGAGTCCATCTTGGTCTAACTAATTGTGCTGAGCCACCCCATAGATAACCCAGGAAGTACCTTGATGTAGGAAATTTTTCTGATGCTGTGGCAGCTTCCAGGTGTGCTACCAGGTGAGTTTTTCCAGAGCTGAGGGAACGGAAGCCTCCACAGACCAGACTGAAATGTTCAGATTGCACGGTTTGCTAAGACAGTTTAAACACATAGCAAGAAGTAAGAGGAAAGAGATGAGTAGGTTGGCACATTTAGGACAGAGTGTAAGTGGGGGAGAGGGGGGGTGCCCTTTCTGGGCGTACAGATTTGTCTGTGTGCTTCTGCTCTGCTGCATATGCCTGTCCCCCTCATGTGTGGTTACAAGGCCTTGAGCTGAGGTTTGGCCAAGCCCCATAGATGGCAGATGCCGTGGTCGAATGACACCACCGTACTGTGTCTGAAAGACACAGGATCAGGATGCCTGGCTAGTAGTTGTAGCTTGCCAGTTAGCCTGACAAACACACGTGAGTTCTGCTTGTGACTCTTGAGCAAGGAACACGTGGGGCAGGACTGAGTATCAGCAGACACACCCTCCAGACACACCCTCCGCCCCCATTTGGCAATGTCTGGAAACATTTTTCGATTGTTACAATTGGCATGTGGGGCTGGGGATTTAGCTCAGCGGCAAAAGCGCCTGCCTGGCAGGCGCAAGGTCGTGAGTTCGGTTCTCGGTCCTGGAGAAAAACCAAAAAAAAAAAAAATACAATTGGCATGTGTAGGAAATGTACTTGCACCTAATGGGTAGGATCCAGGTATGCTGGAAAATATGCTATAATACATAAGATGATCCATCAGGACAAAGAATTATCTGGCCACATATGTCAGTAGGGTCAAAGTTGGGAAGCCCTGCATAGTGTCGGTGGGTGGTCAGATGAAGAACTCATGAATATTAATTGCTTATGTGCATTTAATGTATCCTAGGGTGTGTATGTAACTCAGTGGTGCAGCACTTACCTAGCATCTGTGAGGCCCTGGGTTCGATCCCTGACATTGAAAAAAAGAAAAATTTTCAAAAAGAAAAAATTTAGTATATCCTGCATATTTAATGTTCTCTTGTATATTTAGTATGTTGTGAACATTCATTAGCTACATATCTCAAAAATATTAGTTATCTCTCGATCATCTATCCCTTTCTAAATGTGTTCTTCTTACGAAATAAGGACATCATATTACTAGCTACTCTTCTATACTTAAAAGTGTCTTAAAGCATCTGCCTAAACTTTAGAAAGCTCAAATTTATTCATCTGATGGAACTGAATATTCTCAAATGCAAATTCATGTCCCACTTGCCCTGGAATTTTTAATAAAATGATAAATGTCTTGGTTGTTTAAGTCACTTTTTTGGTTGTGTTTTCTATGACTTGCAGTTTAGAGCATCCTAGTGATTGCTGCATAAAGTCAGCAGGAAAATTTATTTCAGGACAGACATAGTCCAGGCTTACACTGTAATGACCATTTCCTCGGTGGTATTATAGGCATCAACTCTGCAGCATCGTGGTGCTTGCAGTAACGTAATGCTGGCTTGCACGTTCTGTTTGCATTTCAAGAAACTCCTCATGGGACTTATCCTGGTGGGCCCTGTGCTAAGAAATTCACTTTTATTATGATTGGGATGATTTTGGCTTGGTGATAGAGCATTTTTAAAGAGAGTTTTTATAGTAGAAACATCGTAATTTCTCCCAGAAAAATTTTTAGTCTGTTCAGTGTCTGTAAATACAGTAACATTAGGAATTTATAGCTTCATACTTTTTTTACTTATTAATGATAGTTGTATTTATATTATAGTGCTTAAAAAACTAAAGACTATGGAATCGTGTCTTAATTTTTTTTTCATATACGTGTAATTAAAGACAAGCATATTTAAGATGATGTGAACATTTAAAATGATGAAAGAAGTTTGTTGTTTTGAAGAAATTTCAAAAGGGGTTTATTTTAAAATGCTTATGGTTTCTGCCTTTTTGTTTCTTTTAGCTCATTTTGTCTCCCCCTACCCCTTGTTTGTTTTTGTGGTGCTGGAGAATGAATTTACTGCTTTGTGTATGTCAGGCGAGCATTTTACCACGGGGGTTCTTTCCTAGTCCTGCCCCTGACCCCTTTTTAATGATGGGGCCCCTTTTTAGTGATGGAAGCTTGTATTTTATCAGATTAAAAATAGATAAAGTAATAGTAAGCTATGATAGCCAATTAAACCTTGAATAAAAGAACTAAAGTAAAAAAAAAAAAAAAGAAGAATAAAATGTCTTAAGACTGGGCATGGTGGTGCATACCTGTAGTCCCAGGTACTCTGGGAGGCCGAAGCAGGAATAATATGTTTAAACCCAACCTGGATAATTACTGGCTTAGCAAGACCCTGTCTCAAAATAAAAAATGAAAAAAGGGCTAGGAATGTACAATAGTTTAAAGCACTGGATTTAATCCCCCGTACCACCACCACCCAAAAAAAGCAAGTAACTACTTTGAAGATCACGATACAGAGTACATTCACTATTCTTACTATTCTGTGATGAAATTTTGTGTTTTCTCATAAAATAAAAGAATGTGGTGCTGCTTGTAGTTTCTTAGAACTGATGACAGCATCAGAGCAATCACCTCGCTTGAGCAGTATGGTAATAAGTGATGTAGTCAGCTTACCCTTGCTCCTTTTAGATATACCCTCCTCCAAAGTTTTGATTTTGTTTTGCAAGGTTAAAGAATTGTTAGAATTGGGTGCAGTGGTGCCTGTTGGTAATCTCAGCAGCTTGGGAGGATACAGTGTAGGTGTGAGAAATTCCAGGTTAGCCTGGGCAACTTAGACACAGTTTCAATAGGTAGGAAAGAAGGAAGGGAGGGAGGGAGGGAAGAAAAAAAGGAAGGAAGGAAGGAAGGAAGGAGGGAAGGAAGGAAGGAAGGAAGGAAGAAAGAAAGAAAGGAAGATTCATTGTTAAAGCAGATATGTATAGATATGTATAGAATACAGATATGTATTCTCATCTTCAAGTGCTGCATATCATCAGGGTCCCCTTTAATCTTTATTTCTGTCATTGCAGTGACTTGCTGTCCTCTGATTATATAGAGAGACACGTCGGACATGGAGGAAGGACTGTAGAAGTTAAAGTAAGTGAAATTTTCCTTCCTTCTTTTTGGGGAAACTGAGAATCTTTTAAATGTTACTGATCGTGATGTTGTTTAGTAATAGTTTTAATGTACAGTCTTGAGGGGTGGTTGATGTATTTGCTTCTGCTGTTCTGTGGTCCTGGGGATTAGAACCAGGGCCTTGCACACATTAGACATTGAGCTAACCACCCTGGCCCTTTTTATTCTGTGATAGTGAGGTTGCCCGGGCTAGCCTTGAACTTGTATTATTCCTACCTCAGCCTCCAGCCATGCATCATCATGCCTGGCTTACTTTGAGGTTTTAAAAATATTTTGTCTTATTAAGAAATTTTATTACCCACTTGTGAAAACAATTTACTATCCATTATCAGAAAAAGAACTCTTGGCACAGGTATTGCTGGGCTCACATCTTGTAGAATTGATAAAGGTGTGTACAATGGATATAGCCAAAAGTAGTTCCTTTTTAGATCATGTCACAGAAAATAATGTTTGAAATCTGCCTTTGGTTAACACCCAGAACCCAAATGTGAAATCTTGGGTCCAGGGCAGGTACATAGAATGTGTGAAAGACTTTCCCCGGGTACAGTGTAAAATGGTTAGATTGACAGGGGTATCTCAGGGAGTTTCAAATGCCTGAGGACAGAAATCTCAGGATATTGGCTATAATAGGTAGTCTCTGTAAAAAATTAGAACACAAAGAAAAACCTCCTGCAGCTACAGGTACAAGAATGTTTTTTCCCAACCCAGCGATGATGTAGTCTTAGGGCATATGAAAGTGAAAACACCCAAGTGTGAAGCGCTTTTCCTGTTCATTGTTTAATGTAGTGAGTTTTGGTCAGGTATATATATTTTTTGAATAATGTCCAGATTAACTATTCTGCCTTTTTTGCATTAAATTGCCACTTCTTAATTGCTATTTCCTTTTTCTGATTACAAATTTGATTGATCTTTGTTTTAGAAAACATATAAGCAAAGAATAATAAAAATGGAAAATCGCTCTTAAACTCATCACCAAGAGAGAAACTTTGCATTCATTTTCTATGTTTCCTTGTCTTCTAATTTGTGTACATTTTCTATATCATGTGATATATGCCTGCAATATATCTTGCTTGTTTTTTAGTAAACATTGTGACATATTATGAACATTTTCCTAAGCTGTTTTCCCACAGAGCTTATGTTCATCACTTTTCTGTTCGCATATAGTACTATAAAAACTTTTTTACTCGTAAGTTAAACTGTTAACAGTAATCATACTAAATTACTTTTTCCTATTCAAATGATAGCGAAAGCTAATCGGGTGTTTCAATCATTATATTAAGTAAAAATAAAGGGTTTTTTTTTTTGGTAGTACTGGGGATCAAACCCAGGGCCTTATGAATTCCAAGCAAGCGCTCTTCCACTGAAAGCTATTTATTGTGAAAAATTTCAAACATATTAAAAAATAAAAAGGATAGTGTGGTGCATATCTTCTACATAGCTATCACCCAGCTTGAGCAGTCACCAACAGCATGACAGTTGTGTATGGAGTATTTCAGAGCAAGGACATTGTGACAGTAAATGCATTAATGTATGCAGGTTGACTGTCCCTCATCTGAAATGCTTGGGGCCAGGTGTGTTTCAGATTTCAGACTTTTTTGGATTTTGGAATATTTGCATAAAGTTTGATGAACACTAATCCAAAATTCCAAAACCCAAAATATTCCAAACTGTACATTTTGTTGATAATAAAGAAATTTTTGATTTTAGATTATGGAGTTTATGATCAGAGATGCTCAGGCTGTACTCTCTGTATCTGTAACTGGTAAAGATTTAAAAACAAAATCTTAAGTTTTACAAGTGACCTAGATGAAATAGTCATACCAGTCCCTCCAGAAAGTTATGGATGAACTGAAGATAAACGTAAGATAAGCTCAAATGTAAGATGGACTTAATGGTTGACTTATAGCCTGCAAAAGAGGATATCATGATTCTTCTAAATTGGACATAGGAGAATGGAGTTATTTTGCTTTTAGATGGCGAAAGAATTACCTAGCTGGATTCTCTAGCTCCTTTTCATTCTCACTGCTTATGTAATTCCACTTCCTTCATTTCTGTGATAATATTTTCCTGAATGCAAAGTGTCTCTTCTCCTTTTGTTAAAGAGGGAAGGAAACAGGCAGTCCTCTATCATCTCCCTCTCTCTGAGAGTGGAAGTGGGAACACAGACATGCACATGCAGGGTAGACCCAGCAAGCAGCTCTCTGCCCTCCCTACAGCAATATCCCGTTATTGCTTTTGGTGAGAATGTGCCCCAAAGCCTCATGGGCTCATGGCCAGGGCTTCTGGAACGTGAATGCATGGAGGGTGGGGATTAGTTGTACATGCGGCTCAGACGTAAAGTCTGGTGGAAGAGTTGGGTTCTGGGGGCAAGACCCAGAAGGGTGCATTTGTGCCCCAGCTCTCTCCTCTGTGTTTGGTTTCCTGGCCTCTGTGGCTGAGCTTTCTTACCTTGTAGTCAGTGGACAATGGATTGAAGCCATGAGCCAAAACAAACCTCTGCTCCTTAAGTTGCCGGAGCTGGGTATTTTGTCTCAGTGATGAAGAAGATGACTAAAATAATCCCTTTTTGGGAAACTTGTTCTTAATCAGCAAAGTGTAGGGCACTCTGTGTGTTCAGTAAATATAAATAAAATCTTGGTTTGCAAACATAATTCATTCTGGAAACATGCTTATAATTCAAAACACTTGTTTATCAAAGCAGATTTCCCAATAAGAAATAATGGAAACTCAGATGATTTGTTCTACAACCCAAATATATTCATATGAAAATGATTATAATACTGTAATATAATATAAAATAATGAAAAAAAAATAAAGAAAAATAAACAATTTAACCTCCACTTACCTTGGAAGACCTTCATGGTGGGTGTGAGGGAGTCAAGAGAGAGGAGGGTTATTGTGTAGAACAGCTTTCTCTATCACTAGTGGAATCACTAATTGTTGTCTCAATAGAATCTTTTCCTTCTCTTTCTGTCTGTCTTTGTTTCTTTCTTTCTTTTGTTCTCTCCTTCCTTCCTTCCTTCCTTCCTTCCTTCCTTCCTTCCTTCCTTCCTTCCTTCCTTCCCGTTTTTCTTTTCTACAGGGTAGTTCAGGCTGGCCTTCAACTCATGGTGATTCTTCTTCCTCAGCTTCCCATTGTTGGGATTACAGTGTGTACCACCATGCCTGGAACCTTCTTCTTTTTGTGCACCTTTAACAAGGAACCTATCCAGTGACACTTGCTTTTGATTCCTTTTGAGGATTTTGTGGAAATGTGATATTACATTGTCCTTAAAGAGATTTATTGCTTGCACTTTGACAGCCTTATTCAGGTGGTGCTTTTCTACAAAATTTTGCATGGTTTCCCACATTTTATACACCTTCCTAATCTCATTTGAAGTGAGGGTTTTCTCTACCTTTTTCTCCTCCTCCTCATCTACAGGCAAGATCTCCCCTGTAACTTGCTCTTCAGAGAAGATCAGAGAGAGAGAAAGAGAGAGAAAGAGAAAAGAACCACTGGTTCAGTTGTGGTCATGTGACATTTGGCATCATATACTACTTGTATTACAAGACATCACTTTTATCAAGTTAAATTTATTAAAAATATTTGCTTGTCTTGGGAACACTTGCAGAATGAGTTACAATCCAAGGTTTTACTGCATTGAATAACACAAATCACAGGTTTTACTGTACAATCTGCTGATTTTGCAGCCTCCAAATTGCATTGTCTTTGTTGATGATTTTCCTAAGCCCTTAACTTGCCAAATGGTGAATCCAAACTTTACGTAAAGTTTAGGGCCAGAGGATGTCTTAAATTTTTCTACTTTTCTTTTGCTTTTCTTTCGGTATGTAGTAGTTTGCTATAGTTGCCCTAACAAAACAAGAGAAATGTATTCTTTGCCAATTTGGAGGCCAGAAGTCCAAGATGGAGGTGCCGTCAGAGCTGGTTTCTTCCTGCAGCCTGCGCATGGTCAGTCTTCTGTTTTCACATGGTTTTCCCATGGTGCATTTCTGCACCCTAAATTCTTGTGAGGATGCAGTTATACACATTTGGTATTATATTTTATTGAAATCTTACTTCCCTGCTAAGTGCACATTGTACAACATGGTGGGAAGCTCCGGACAAAACAAGAAGAGAGGTGACAAGAATGGCCTGCCACATAGGAAAGGAAAGCTAAGCACATGTGGTGTCAGTGTAAGTGAGATGTGTGCATGGAACATGCAGTTGTCACATGTGAAGACTGCCTTGGGTGTGACAGTTGAAGCAAAGATTATTTCTGTGGTAGACTTCTGGTTGTGTTTACATTGTAGTTCGCACAGGTTTTTATTTCTTATGTTATCTCTTAGCTTTTGTAAGGATGTACACAGCTGATACGAAAATGTTGAAAATGTTTCAAAATTTGTGTTTTTGTTCTTTTTTGCAATATACTAGATTTTAGGTTGTGTTGACTGCAATTTTATGTTTAGAGTAAAATAAAATACATTTTGTGATCATTAGTTAGATGACAATTTTTATTATCCATAAGGCCTTATATGCTCTATGAAAGGCAGTTTTGTCTAGTCAAATCGCTTTTATTTTGAAGCCTTTTCTTTTTTTTTTTTGGTTTTGGTTTTGGTTTTTCTCCGGTACCAGGAACCAAACTCACGACCTTGTGCTTGCCAGGCAGGCGCTTTGCCCCTGAGCTAAATCCCCAGCCCCCTTTTGAAGCCTTTTCTTGATTATGAAGTCTGTGTACAGAAAAAAGATAGGTACTTTTCTTTCTTTAGTAAGACATATTAATCTCATCTTTTACTTACATTTATTTTGATTCCTTTGAAGACTTAAGTTCTACATTACTCCTTCGTTAAGAGAGAACTTTTATGTATTTGATAGGGACTTTTAAAGAAGAGCCTTAAATAATCAGAATAACTTGGGAAAGCAATTTTTCATTGTGGAGAACTATGACTCTTGTTTTTGTTTTTGGTTTTTGTCTTTTTGAGAC